TCCAGTCCCTCCTCGCAGGGCTTTGCTTCCAGTCCATATTAAATTTCATCCTGTTCTCAGCCCAGCCCTCCAGCCTATCAAGATCGCTTTGAATTCTGTTTCTGTCTTCCATGGTGTGAGGTACTCCACCCTATGTTGTGCTATTTGCAAATTATTAAGCACGCCATGCTCTTCCTCATCCAAATAATTAACCCAAATCTTGACGAGCGCTGTGCCCAGGACGGAACCCTGCAGGAGCCCACCTGCTCTCTCCCCAGCAGGTGAAGGGGCTGTTGAGAAGCGCCCCCCGAGCCCGATTCTGCGGCCAGCTGTGGATCCACCGGGGAGTCGCTCCATCCAGCCCACTTGGGACTAATTTGCGGCTCAGGATATCGTGGGGCTTTGCTGTCGTCAAGACAGATGATGTCCACAGTTACGGGGAGGCTGCCCAATCGGCAAACTGCTTCTCAATTTTGTCAACAGCCCAAGAAGCCATTGAGCTGACAATGCAACAATACACAAAGGAATAATGAACATGAATGCAGATTGATCTGGCAGGATCGTTCTTGACAAATCCATGATGGTTTCCTAGTGATCACTGAATTATTTTCAAGGTGTCTGTGGACCAACTGCTTCATGATCTGCTGAAGAATTCTCTCAGGCGCCGCTGCCAGGCTGGCTGGTCTGCGGCTCGCAGGGTCTCCCCTTTCCCCTTTTGCAAGCTTGGACAACAGCAGCCCTTGTCCAGTCATCTGGCACTTCACGCATCCTCCATGATTTCTCAGAGAGAACCCTCAGTCCTTCTGCCAGCAATTCTGCTGCTCTTCCACGGCACGCGGGTCAAGTTCAGTGGGCCCAGGAAGTCCGGACTGGTTCGAAGTAATGAGGCGGAGCGAAGACGCTTCACTATGCACATTCCTGGAAAACGCTTCCTCCCTGCCCCACTAACCTCCGCTCAGTCTCAGCTTTGGCCTTCCTGATACCCGCCCTGCAATTCTGTGCTTCCTGCCTGGACTCTTCCCCTGCAGCATGGCCTTCTTTTCACTTCCTCCACAGTCCTTTTCCGTGTTCAGGGATTCTCTGAGCCTCTTGTGAAGCCTCACTGGCTTCGTCTCTTCTTTCAAATTGCTTCTAATTGTGGCTGGAGAATTTCCCTTTCAAAAAATCCCCACGCACTGTGGAGCTCTCTCATTCCTTGCCTCATTGGAATCACTTGCCACGGAGGCCTTACTTATAATTCTTCTGAGTGTATTAAAACCGGCTTTCCTGTGACGTGATGGTCTGGTAGCAGCCAGTTAATCCAGGCGGCCACCCCGGCTGGTTCGGACGAAGTCGAGGAGAGCTGCCGCTCCAGTTCCTTCCTTCTTTCTGCAGCAGGAAGTCATAAGCAAAACAAGCCGAGAAATTTCTTTGAGGGTCCTGTTTGGCAGACTTTGTCTCTCAACGGCTATCAGGGAAATGGAAGTCTCCCGTAACGACACGGAGCCTCCTAGAAAGGCTGGCAATTTGCTTTGCGAAACTTTTGCGGTCTTCTCCTGGACTGGGTGCTCAGTCGCCCCTTCGTTCTTAACCTCCATTTATTTTAATCCACTGGCTCTTGACAGAATCTGGCTTCTTGCAGCATGAGCCCGTTATTCCATGCCTGGCACTCTGGGATGCAGAATGCAGCCTAAAGCCCTCCTGACGGATTCCTTCATGCCGTGGCCAAACTCCCAGCCCTTGGGCGTTGCAACCCCTCCTTTGCCAGCAGTCCACCTGCCCGTGGCCCCAGAATCCCCGTCCGTGTGCCCATTCCGCCTCTACAGCCAGGGAGTCATGCAGAGCAGCTCTCTCCCTCTTCCAGGTGCTGGAAGGATGGATGAGAAGCCTTTCTGGGCTTCAGCGTTCTGGCACTTCCTCCCCAAGGTGTCAAAGTCCACGGTGATTCCTCCAAAGCTCTACTTGGTGGCATCGTTTGTCGGGAGCAAGAAGTGAGTGACTCCAGATTTCCAATGGAGCCAAGCTCAGGGAGCCAAGGCTTCGTTTGGACGCCAGGAAGCACTTCCTGACAGTCAGGACCCCAAGGGTGTGGAATGGGCTTCCCCGGGAGGTCGTTGAGGCCCCACTGGTGTGGGTGTTCAAGGATAAGCTGGACGTGCACATGGTGGGCATGTCGTGAGCAGAGCCGGCTGGAGCTGGGGGTCAGACTAGATGGCCTGGGAGACCCCTTCTGACTCGCTGTTTCTATGTTTCTGTTGAGTCACTTTTTGGCACGAGGGAGGGAGGCAGTGGGAGGGAGGGGCAGGGGGTTGCCATACAGGTAGTCCCCAGGTTATGGACTTACAGACGCGTGGCCTGCCATTAACCTCATATGAGTATCTCTTGAGAACTATGTGAGGCATTTGTGATGGGTCATCAGGGAGCACGTAGTTCCCTAGAGATACTCACGGCTTTCCATTCTGGGAAGGGCAGAAGCAGAGGGGCCCACGCGACGTCTCCCTGTCCCTCTGCTGTGGCTGCTTGAAAGCTTCAAGTCATGCTTTTATTCATAACTTCCTAATCCATGAGACAGCATTAAGCCCTGACATTAACGAATGATGCTGGAGATGGGCCTGGGGCTGGAGGGTCAGGGTTTGACTGCTGCTGGGGGCAGCGGGTCACCACTGGAGTCGCTTTCCTGAAGGGGCCTCGCGGGTCGCTTGTACAGCATCAGCGAGCCCATTCCACAGATGGGGAAATGAGGCTGCACTGACAGCAGAGCGAGAGAGAGAGAACCTGTCAGAGCAGAATCTGGCAGGCCTGATCCCCGGCAAAGTGGCCAACAGGCCTACAAATATGTAAAAGGAAAGAAAGATAGTTCTGATTATTTTCTGTTTTGTTTTAGGTTTGGCTTTGTTTGCAACTGTGCCATTTTATCATTTTTATAGTTTATTGTAAATTAGCAGAGCAACTCAGAGAAATATTCAGAAAATGAACAGAAAAAGGTAATATGCGGTACTTTAAGGTGCTCAAAATGCTTCATTTTCATGATCTTATTACAATCTATGCAAGAATTATAGTGAGCTGGTTTAACTCTGTAAGACACTGACCTGAAAGAATGTTCTAAATTGTTTCAACAACTATCTTTCGTACCTACACGCGTGCATAGATTCTTCCCAGTACCTGTAGTGAGTTTATTATTACTGTATTATCATTATTGCAATGCTGCGCTGTGTTTAAGATGTTTTAGTGAACATGGGAGGTGTTTCGTAGGGGTTTTATACGCATAGAAAGGTGTTATGCGTGTGCGTGCATGCGCATGCATACTGAGACAAACATTCGGCTTACTCATGTGATCCGACTTGCGTACAAACGCAACCTACGGGCAGTCTCGGGAATGGGGCGCGTCCGCAGCCCAGGGACCACCTTCGACGGGGGAGGCTTCGGCACGTTTTGGCAAGCTTAGCTCTCCTCACCCCCAGGGAGAATAAGTGCGCCGGGCTGGGGGCAATCGTGCCGAGAAAGCCGCTTTTTCAGCTGCGCTCTGGATACGTTTGAATAACAGCACAACCTTGTTTAAAGACGTTGTGGCTGGAGCGAGTGGCTTCGATGCATCACGGAGAGCGCATGGGGGGACCCTGCACCCCACCCGCCCCTCCCTCCTTTCTGCTCAAGTTGGCTTTCGACTCCGGAGAAGAGGCTCGAGGCTTGAAGGAAGACCTCCTGCAACGACGCGAGACTCGGCCTGGCCGTGAAAGTGGAGGCTGGAGAGGGGACTCGGACCGTGTGCAAAGCCTCGCCCGCTGGGCAGCTGCAGCTCCTCCGCTCTGCCCCAGGCCCCTTTCCCCCTCTGAAGGGTGGCATCTGGGGGGGGGGGGGCGCGAGTCTCGCACTGGGGGGGTTGGGCCCGGAGGCCCGCAGGGCCCCTTCCACGTGCAGGAGTCTGTGCCCACAGGTTTCTCCATTGCTTCCCCTTCCTGGCACCGTCCCCCTGCCCCAAATCTTTCTGGATTGCCCATGAAGGCCCGCAACACCTTCCCGCCGAAGGGACGGATGCGGCCCCGGGTCCCCCTGCATGCTGCTGGCGCCAACACAGACCGTGACTTTGGGCGTTTTGCTCCTGTCGCCGGGGCAGCACATGAAGACTAGTGTGCCTGTCAGGGTCATTCACAGTTTGCTTCCCACCCCACCCCACCCCACCCCACCTCGTGGAGGCCCCCCTGGGCAGCTTCCCTCCTGTCCCCGAGGCGGGGCAGAGGGGCCAGCGCTGGCCCACAGAGCTGCCACGCGTGTGGACGGAGCCAGCCCCAGCGCATGCCTTGCAATGCGGCACTGGTACACGGCTGTGGGGCTGCTGGGAGCCGAGCGGCAGCAGAGGCGGCGTGGCAGAGGCGGCGGCGGGATGAGGGCTGGCAGAGCCGGTGGGGAGAGCACCGCTGCCCGGGCCGAGAAGGCAGGGCCCGAGTGGTGGTGGCGCACCAGGCGCGCCGAGCGTGTCCCGCGGGTCCCGGCTCCAGGGCTCTCGGGGGAGCGGTGGGCCACGGTTCACCTGCGGGGGCCTCATCCCCCACCCCCCCGGTGCCCGTGGGTGGCTGTGAGGAGGCTGCGGCTTGGGGCCCGCCTAACAGTTCCGGCGAAAGCCACAGCGCAACACGGCGCCTGCGGGCTCACCCAGTGGCGTGGGGCGGGGGGGATCCCGGCCAGCCCCAGAGGGCGGCAGAGGATGGTGGCGTGGACGGCGGCCCTCGCCGCACCGCTTGTCTCGAGCCAAAGTGCTGCAGAGCTAAAACGAGCGCTTTGCACACCAGCTGGTGCAAAATTGGCCCTGGATCGATACCGCGCAATGATCGAAAGCCGCTTCTTCCTATTCCTGCGCGAGAGCCCACTTCCACGGAGCACCGACGGTGCCGAGGCGGGATTCCCGGGGTCTGGAGCGGAGTGCCGCGCCGCCGACGTTCGCGGCGAGATGCGCAGCACCGCCGGGAGGGGCGGGGGCCGGCGTCTGCGAGAGGCTGTGCACATGCCGAGCGCGCGTGCCACATTTGCGAGCCCCCCGCCCGCCCGGCCTCCCCCCTCCCACACTTTCCTCTTTGTGCTGCTACCGTTGCTAATTTAAAACTTTAAATATTAATCTTTTCGACCAATGTGAGATGCCGGGTCTCGGAAAGTGTTAATTTACACGCAGCTCCCAACAGTGGGAAGATGTTACAAGCCCCAGCTTCTCTACTCTATTGTATTAATCACCCCTGCTGCCCGCCACCCCCGCTTCCCTCGAAGCAGGCGCCTCCTCCTCCGGCGTGCCTCCTACAAGCCTTTGTTGTAGACGACGGTCCTGCTGGTCGTGGCCTGGGCGATTTCGGGCTCCAGACGCAGCGTCTCGATCTGCCAGAGGGAAAAGACGCGAGGCGAGGTCAGGCGAGGCCGAGACAACGGGGGCGCTCCGGGGCCTCCCCCGCCCCACGGGAGCCAGCCCGACGCCCCGTGCCCATGGCTGCCCCCACCTCAGCTGCAGCCCATGCTGGGCTGCTGGTCCTCCTTCCCGCCCTCACGGGATCCCGGCAGAGCTGGACGGCCCACGCGGCCGGCGGTGAGACCCCCTGCGCGGCACAGGGCTCCAGGTGCCAGCCGCAGTGCGGGAGACACCGCCTCCCCGGCCCCGGGGCGCCTCTGCACAGCTTGGCTTCCTGCTCCGGCTCTCTGGCGTGTGCCTGGGGCTGCCCCACTCCCACCTGCTAGCCCAAAGCAGCCCCGGAGGGACTCTGGAGGGCCGGGCCAGCCGCACGGGCCCAGAGACCCTCTCGGGGGCTGCCCAAAGGGAGTGTGGGGGGCAGGCCCAGCCGCATGCACAGCACGAGGTCCCCCTGAAGACGCTGGCAGGACACGGGGAGGCCCCCGAGGGCTCCCCGGGGCTCTGCAACATGGGTGCACCGAAGCCTTGCGGCCCCCTCGCCCCCTCCTTTTGTCCCCGGCCTGTCTCGGCCAGACCCCCGTCCCCCGCCCTTCCCCATCTGTCCCCATCTCAAGCAAGCTGTGCCCGCTCCAGGTGCGGGGACCCAGGCGTCGCCCAGAAAGGGTGGCCCGTCCCCACGCTGGCCTTTCGGCGGCCGAAGAAACGAGCTGCGCCGGCTTCCCACCGCCGCCCCGAAGGCCGGAGGGCCAGCGGAGGGCTGCCCCCGGCTCCCCGTGCTGGGGCAGGCGGTCCGGCAACGCCCGGGAGAGCGAGGCCCGGCGCCCACAAAGTCCTCTCCCCGCCTCTCCGGAGATCACGGCACGCGGCCGGCCCTCGAGGGGCGACAACGGCTCCCCTCCGGAGCAGCCTGCCCGCGGACCCCCGCTCTGCTCCGCTGGGTCCGCTCTTCCTGCACGTGGCAGCATTGCGCACCAGCTCGGCTCCAGTGCCACGGCTGACACGACAATGCCAGGAACCTACATTGAAAACCTCAATGCTTCTGAAAATGTTTAACCTAGTTAGACAAATTAGCAAAAATTTGTGCAAAACAATTTAGGTATTTAAAATATTCAATGTTTTTAAAAACTGGAAAAACTGTTCTTAGCTTTCAGCTGCAGAAACGCAACAAAATGTAACATCCAAGCAATCTTAACATGAGGTGAAACATAACCCTTCAGCAAAGCTGTTAAACAGCTCCTGGTGCATCCTGGGAAATAGCACTTCATTTATTCAAATGCACATATGCCAGGTTTTTGCACCATATGTCATTCCAAGCTATTTACAGTAATAATTAAATCTTAATCAACGTTTAACCTCTGTAAAATGTTTGAAGGGATCTAATCACCCTTCAGTCTGCACTAATGAAGGAGAAATATATAAACATAAAAAGAAAATGATGCACACCAGAAAGAAGAGTAATTGCAAAATTGTATTTCTTTTAAATATAATCAGCAAGTTATGTAAAGGAAGCCAATGCGTATTTTAAGTGAAGACATCTTGGGTGTCAGAGGTGTAAGGAGCTAATTTTGTACTGCTATCCATAACAGATGTAGCATATTTTCTCCCCGAGCCAATATTAGCAACTTCGCCGTTCCTTTTCTTGCTGCACCACAAAGCGGAACATCGGGACGGGAAGGCGGCTCCACGAGGAAGGGGCAGGACGTGCCGCCCGCTCCCTGGCGCAGCCGGGCCTTGCTCTGCCAGCTGCCGGGAGGGCCAGCCCCCGGGCGGCCGGAGGGCCAGGGAGGGCCGGGGGCTCCGGTGCGCCGAAATCGACCCGGCAAGGAGGCCCGGCGGACCATGCCTGCCCTCCTCCCGGAAGCCCTCCAGAGGTGCCGCGGGGGCTGGCCAGCACGGCCGGCGGTGGTCGAGACGGCTGGAGGGGAGTCGGAGTTTCCACCTGGGGGAGAGGCGGCCCTCGCCGAGGCGCCCCGGGACAGCAGGGGGCATCCCCGCGGGGCGGGCTGCGTGCGAGAGCTGCCAAGGGGGAGCTCAGAGCGCAGCCCCCTCCACGCGAAATGGCCCGGCACGGCCCTCTCGAGCACAGAGCTTGCTTGATCTGCCGCCAGGAGGGGCTGGGGAGGGCCGCCCCCACAGGCGCAGGCTCCTTCTGGCGAGAACCCTCCGCCCACGGGGCTGCGCTGCAAGGGACGACGCCTGGAATGACCCGTGACACCCCCAGGGGGCGGCCGGGCTGCAGACGCCCCCGCCGGGCCCCCAGCTGCCCCCGCACGGCTGCTCTCGCCACTTGGTGCCATCATGCGCAGAGCCGGCCCAGAGACTTGCCAGGAGCACGTGAGCCAAGGCCCGATGCACGGCCGCGGGGATTGGGACCTGCATCGCTGCGGGGCAAATGCCGCGGGGCTGTGGGGGCAGAAAGGGGGGGAGCAGCTCGGGGGGGCGAGAAGCGCCTCGATCCCTTGCCTGAAGGCTCAGGAAGCGAGCATGGAAGCTGGGGGAAGCTGCCAGGCAGCCCTCGGGGCTCCTGGGACGGGCTGGCGGGTGGTCTCTCGACCCCAGGCCCATGGCTCGCCACTCTCCTTGCGACCCATGCCAGTGTCACCATGCGAGACCCCACAAGTACGGGAGCCCCGGCCCCCTGCCAGCCCCGCTGCTTCTGTCGACTCTGAAGGCCACCATTACCCAGCAGCCCCTCCGAAACGGCTGCCTTCAGACCTCTGGACATCAGCTCCCAAGAGCCCAGCCAGCAGGCCCAGTTCCGGGAATGCTCAGAGTGTGGCCCCAAACACCCGGAGGGCAACCGGCCGCATGGAAGGGCCACCACGTGGCCTTAGAAAACCACCCCTGCTGCCGTTTTGCGCTAGTCTGGAAGCCGGAAGGGAGAAACGGAGGCTGCAGTGCTTCGGACACGGCATGAGAGGGCTGGGCTCCCACAACACGGGAAGCCATCGCGCCTGGGAAGTTGAGGGCGGAAGGATGACGGACGACCCAGCAAGAGAGGGAGGGGCTCCACGAGGGAGGCCGAGCCGTGAATTCGGGGCAGGCGAGCGGGGAGCCACGGAGGGGACCTTTGGGAGGATTTTCGGTCCTGGGGTTGCCACCAGTTGGAGGTGGTTGGACACCACGTGGCGACCACAGCAAGAAGGGACATCCTGGAGACGGCAGAAATGGACAGACCATTGCGAGCACTGGTTCCAGGGAAGCCCGTCTACATGGCTCGGGTCAGCTCGGAAAGTCAGGAAAAGCCTCTTTTGCTGCTGTCCCAAGGCTGAAATGATCTGCAGATGGGGGCTGAGCTGCAGGCTTTGCTTCAGAAATATCCTTGCTTCTGTTTCAAGACACCTTCCAGGCCGAGGAAAGCTTCTGCGCCTCTTCCGGTAAGGCAGCAGCTGCAGCAGCAGAACCGGGCGAGGGTCCTCCGAGTGGCGTGAGGGGCAGCCGAGGGGCTCCGGTCCCCGGGTGGTCCTGGCTGTGGAAGGCCTCCACCCTCCCAGAAAGCTGCAAAGCAGAGCCTGACCACCGGCTCCCCCGGGGTCGGTGCGCTCCCCGACCACTCTCTCCTCAAGGCTGAGGCTCACGTGGCCGGGGGGCTGCAGAAGCACGGAGGAAAGCGCTCCAGCCTCTCGGAGGGGGGGTCCGTGACCCGGGAGCCCCTCCCTCGGAGGCATCGTGGGCCGTGGAGGTTTCATGGGCAGCAGAGGGTCAAGTGCACGGTGAGAGGTGCCCACGGCAGGAGAAAGGACAGAGCCTGCGGCCTTCGGTGCCGGATTCTGCCGTCACTCAGTGAAAGCCGGCAATCTGGCGCTGGATTCTGAGACCGGAGCAGTCGTCTGAGCTATCATTTAAGAAACAAGACAAGCACTCTTCGGGCGCACGGAGGGGAGCGCCAGGCTCCGTGAGGGGAGCCCAGGAGCGCTTCGAGGCCGCGTCTTCCACCAGACGACACGCAGCCGTGGCCGCGGCCAGTCCCCGGAGCGGCAGCTTCCTTCCTTCCTTGCAGGGCTGCGCTCGGCTCCTTTGCCCGGGGGGCATCGTGTGCAGGACGCGCAGCAGGGCTGCCACAAGGCTGTTCTCGGGCCGCCTTCCAGAGCGAAGCAGGGCAGGTGGGCAGCAGGACACCGGGAAGGCGGAGAACGGTTTGCCCTGCAGCCGCGAACTGTGGGGACCAGGAAGAGCTCCATGGCCAGAGGACGGATCGGGCGGCTCACCCGTCCACACCCCAGCGATGCAGGCTGAGCCGGGCCAGGGTTGGTCCCCCGGCCCAGCACCATCTGCAGTGGCTCCCCTTCCAGGGGGTCTCCTAGCCCTGCCTGCTGCTGCTGCTGGGATGGGAACAGTGACCATTTATGGAGCAGCTCCCCCACCCCGTATCCAAGCACGGTCAGGCCAGGCTGGCTCTTTAGGGAAGCCCACAAGCGGGTGTGATGGCGGGCAGCCGACTAGAGACAAAGGCTCCGCTGGAAGGAAGCGCTCGCCCTCCACATGCCCTTCAAGGAAGCCTGTGGCAAGCCGCTCAGCAGAGGCGGCAACTCGGGGCTTGTGGCGGCACCTGGGTGGGCTGAGCCGGACCCGCAGGGGCCCAGTCCCGACAGCCACCGCGGTCGAGGGAGCAGAGCCCAGCCGCTCCCTCCAGGGGAAGGTGAAGGGCCTCTCCAGGCACCCGGATCGGTGCCCCCGCAAGCGGTCGCCGTGTGAGAGGCCTCTGCTCATCTGCCAGGCTCCGAAGAGAGGTCCGAAGGGCAATTTCCTGCCCCAGGAAGGACGGGGACCCTCTCGTCTTCCGGCCTCGGCTTTGATCAACCCCTCGTGTTTGACATCTTAAAGCGAGGAATGTCAAAGGGATGAGTGATGCTCCTTAGGAGCCTTCAGCGCCTCCCCCTTCGCTTTGCTCCCGCGGTCGCGGGCGCGTTCCCATCTTCGTTTGCACAGCTGAGCACAAAGCAGGCCTGCAGGTGCCAGGTGCCAGGTGGGA